AAAAAATATTGGGAAGTAGTAGGAGTTTAAAAGTAGTAAGAGTTGGGAGAGTTTAAAAGTTTCAAGGTTTAACTGATTAGCTATGGGGTACCATAGGACGGAGAGAGAGGAGGTAGAAGAAATGGGATTTGGACATAGATGGAAAAATAGAGTGGATATGGAAGGAATATGGACTGTGGACGGAGGGTAAAGGGGGCGGGACACAAAGGTGGGAGGAGAAGGGAATGGGTTTAATTTATGTGGAATGCATGTATATATGAATTGTCCACACAATGTGGATTTTTGTTACGGAAAAAAAGGAAAAATCTAATAAAAGATAAAATAACTGAGCTGTCAGTTTTTTTCGTTTAGCCTGCTGGGTTGAACAAAAAAAAAAAAACTAGTAGTATGTACCAGGCTTTTAGAGATCGTCAATTTCAATAAACAAAAAAAAAAAAAAAAAGGAAAAATTGATTTTTTTCTGACCTCCATTACAGGGTTTAATAAAACAGTCTGTAAAATATGTAATAAAGAGATTTCAAACTATGTGGGCTTCTGTTGCTGCCCTGAAAATGGTAGTTGTGCCACGGATATGCTGATGCAGTGGTATTATTATTGTTTGACTCGATAACCACACGTTAGTGGGAATTTAGAGAGGCAGTAACAACTTAAAAAAATTTGCTGGTTAAAGTCAGAAAATCATGTATTGGTGTTTTTTCTTTCTATAAATTATTTTTTATGCACTTCCAATGTGCCTTGTTTTCTTGAAATGGTCAGTCCGCACTAAAATGTACTTCAAGCTGAATTCCAGTCAAACAACTAAATGTGTGTGTGTATGTATGTATATGTGTGTGTATATATATATGTGTGTGTGTGTGTGTGTGTGTGTGTGTGTGTGTGTATATATATATATATATATATATATATATATATACATATATATATATATATATATATATATATATATACTCAAACTTAAAAAATCAAATGTTCTCTATGCTGCTTGTTCACACCTGATTGCGTGAACAGGCACCATAGAGAACAATTGATTTTTTAAGTTTGAGCGTTTTTGGAGCTTCAAGTGTGAATGCAGCCTTACTCGTAGCAGAGCTGATTGGTTTCTTGAGCAGCTTCTCCCATTCTGAACTCTGCTGCTCAGTGGATAGCAAGAGGCTGATATTAAGTCAATTGTAGGTAACTACACTGCTTGCAAAAAAAAACAAAAAACACCTAATTCATAACGCTACTTTTTTAAAAGAAAAAAAAAACAGCTAATTATCTTTTAAAATAAAATAGGTCTTGCTGAAATACTCGACTTGTCTCTGGTGCTGCCCCCTGCAGTCCTTATACAATAAAAATATGGTAGTTGCTAATATTTTATGTTGCACGACATTTGCACATCTGTTTATCAAATCGATATATTCAAGAAAAAGTACACTAAAATTATTTTATTGCACACAAACACAAGTTTATCCCCCTTTTGTGTACAAAGTAAAAGATCAGGTAGTGTAGAGTAAATAAGTAGTAAATGTGTCAAGTCTCAAAACTGCTCTCGTGAAGTGAATAAAAATTATTATGATGAGCTTAAAATTATTAAAATGTGACACTTTAAATGCCTTTAGTTCAGAGATAACCGTGAATGAAGGACCTAGAATCATATCTCCCACTCTGGCCTGCACAGCTGTATACTGTATATGTGTGTCGTGTAATCTTTTACATACATGTATGTGCTCTGGGTGGGTGTGTGTGTTTGCATTCATATGTGTGTGCACTGGGATAACAAGCCTTTTATGTGATAGCTTTGGAAAAGTGACACATACGCTTTAGACCCCTTTCACACATCCATTCAAATCAGGTCTACCTGTCAGTTTTTCAGGCGGACCTGATCAGAAGGTCTATTCATCCCTATGGTCAGGCAGTTGTAAGTGGACTTGTCTGATCACACTCGTCTACATCCAGGTCCAATCAGGTCTGCTAAAAAAAGCAGAAGGGGATCTGTCCTCTTCCATTTAGGCAAAACGGACGGTATTTGGGTGTTGACCATCCGCAAAGTCCATTTACTCCTGGCCACCCATAGAGCAGAGCAGGCTGTGTTCGTGTATGCTGTGCAGAAGCTGAGCAGACACGGACCTGTCATCCACCCACTTTGCTCTGATCAGCTGTGGATCTGTGAACTGATCCCCTGCTGATTTAACGTAATCCACTCGAGTAAAAGGGGCCTTATGGAAACATTGTGGTCTATTAGTCTCCTAATGTATCCTCTGTCCTCTGGTCTAACCGATCAAGCACATTCTGTGCTTGAGCCGCTGTGCATGCAGCTTTTCAGCTGGGATCTGACTGCCCTGAAACTGGGAATGCTCAAAACTGAGCGCTTCCAGGTTCACACTGTGCAGAGGAGATTGGGGAATGGACATTCCCCAAGCTCCTCTCTCTTGAAATCATTAGTGAGGTCCCAGGTTTAGGAGAACCCAGGAACCACTGAGGGGAAAATTAGGTAGGGTGGGTGTGGCAACTGCAAGTACAGTAAAAGTGATGGGGTGGCTCTGTAGTTCCCCAGATCACTTTTACACAAATGCCCAGAGCCTGCTGAACTACACAGAAACATGCTGAAAGCTGCTACTGTTTCAGTGAGCATCATCTGTATATACTGGATACATTGCAAAATGCTAATCTAGTTGAAAAAAGTTTGCAAGCAGGAAGGCAAGAACAACAAAAAAAAACATGTCCCTATTTGCAATAACAGCTTCTCACCTGCCTGTTAGCAAACCTTTTTAGAGTGTAGACTTAGCTGAGCAACAAATAATGGCCATTTGCTGAGCGTTTCTGCAGGCCGCCTAGAGGCTGCTGCAACCTCTAATTATCTTACATTTACGGCCAAACCCAGGTACTCTTGCTACTGGACAGTGAGGCAGACCATCATAGTGATGGGTCAGCGGGAATATGGGTGAGAGAAGCTCATGGCAAGCTTCAATACTACTCATAAGTGTTGGAACTTTCCTTTGTAGAATGGCTGGGCATTTTAAAACCTGCTGTAGTTGTTTTCGTAACCTCCCTGGCGGTATTCCCTAGTGTAGCTCTGGGTTAACGTTCAGTACCAGAAGCGGTAACCCCGAGCTACACTCGGGAATACTCTGCAGCGTTGCTCAGGGATTCCCTTCACCACTTACCTTGTCCTGCACTCCCGCGATGTCCCCCCACTGCAGCTTCCCCGGCCATCTCTTCCGGCTGATGCCGTCTTCCGGGTTCCGTTCCCTGCAAGCGTCAGGACGTACGGGGGATGGAGCTGGCGGCAAATTCAAAAATGTAAAAAGTGACATTCACTCAATACACTAAAATCTCATAGTATAACATTACTGTATCAAACCATTTCACATACATTGTGTCCCGAGTGCTTTGTCCTGTGCCCTGCCTGCATTTTTACTGTTCTTTCTGCCTAGAAACTGAGAAACGTACATGGCATCCAAAAAGCGTACCCTTAGGTCAAAAGCGGTTTTAGACCAGCTGGAGAACAGCGATAGTAAATTAGAACCACTTGCAGTATTAAGTGATAATAATTTGTGGGGAAATTCATCATCAGACACAGAAAACGATTTTGTGACTGAGCTCAGTGATGTGCGATTTTGGTGCTATATTTCAAATTTCACTGTTTTTAGTTTGATTACATTATTGAATTACATTTATTATTATATTATTGTTTTTATGATTATTTATTATATTATAATTTATGATTTTGTGTTTCAAATTTTATCATACCCGGGATGTTTACTAGACTCTTGTTTTGACAGATTTCAGTGAGTTATTCCTAAGAATTACAGGCCTGCAATTAAAAAAAAAAACAACATATTTCCATGCAAAAAAATTTACCTCTTTGAGCACAGAAATACTGACATAATCAGACCGCTAAGGAGGTTAATGACAGATTCTCATTATTTAGATTGTACGATCAGGTGGAAGGAAAGAAAATCGCTCGATTCCCCCCTCAACACAGTTAGTGTTGATGGGGGAATGCCTTCCGAAGCACTTTTGTGTGTTTTATTTTTTTTGGGGGGGATGGGTCACGGGGAGCCTACCAGCTGACAACAAACACTGATACTGCTATTGGCTATAGCCACTGGCAGTAATCAAATTTTGAAAAAATCCAACAGGCTGGTTGTACCCAAGTCTATTGATGGATCACCTTGGATCGACTTGGGATTACAACAGTCTGCCCACACATGGATCAATTCTGGGCTGGTCCCTGCTGAACCGGCCAATTTTGATCCATATTTTGCTGGCTTAAGACCAGCTTTAGGCATCCTCAAAGTCAAGAAGCAGAGCTGACTTTGAAATAGTTATTGCTCAGAAATACAAAGGAAATTTTACAGGTGTGTAATGTTCCTCATATCTGCTTGTAAACATTTTTTTTTATTTTTTTTTTTATACCAAAGTATCTCTTTAAAGCCTTTCTTTCTTATAAACAAATCTTTTTTTTTCTTAATAACAACCCAATAACCTTAACCGGTCTAGTGAATCCATGGGTAAAAAATGTCTGCTCTAATATTTTCCTGAGCTGTTTAATTGTTCACATAGAGCTGCTTCTGTGCTGCTTTGTGTCTGGCTCACTCTGGCTTAAATATCTTAGTAATGTTTCCCATAAGACCTGCCCTTTATCCGATGACCTCAACAATCTGATGAGCATACATGTGATTTTATGGAGACAGTGAGAAGATTTAACAAGAATAGATTGCATCCTCTTCCAAATTCTAAGATCATAGAAAAAAAAAATCCATTAATCAATTTTTCCTTGTTAGCCTTTTCAACCTGGGTTGGAAAATACAGGCTACTTCACAATTAAAAGGCCTCCATGGTTAAAGTCCTTCACTTATTTGTGACATCCAACATTGTGGGTGATGCTGTCATTCTTGGCACTGTTCACATGTGTCTTGATTTCATAGACAGTGAGGAAATTGAGAAGCTGTCTTCTGTCAATATGTTCCCATGGAAACGAAAATATTAACTACTATTTATTTTATGTTTCTTAGTAATCTCCCAGAACCAGGATATTCTGCTAGCCGCTGGAAAAGAAGAGGTAACCCTCTCATTGGATTTCCCATAAGCTGTATGGTTTATTGGCAGGCTTGTGTTGGGAAGAATATGAACCAATTTTCTTTCCTGTTAGAATACTTATTGATTAGGTTGACTTTTCCACAGGATCGTTTCTATAAGCAGAACTCCACTCAGCCACTTCCTTTTAGTGCTCCAGCAGTAAATTGCCCAGAAAACATACTTTGCTTGGCTGACGTCAGCTTGTGTAGCAGCGCAACACGACACATTTTTACCAGCGTTTCATGAGCTCATGTCACAGTTCATAAAAATAGAATTTTCTTTTATTATCACTGGAAATTGCCTAATGAAACTCCTGACCTGTCAGTATGATATCATGTTTATTTTTATGAAGTCTTTTGTCCCTGGTTTTCTGTGTTTACGTGGAACTAGTTATTACACTGCAACACCTTGCTTTTAGATTGTCTGGGATCATACTGAAATATCGCAGGGCTGCATTTTATCAGTGCACAGTTCGGAAGTGTTCTCTTCTTCTTCTGTGTTTGTGCTGTAGAAGTACAGCATGTTTAAAGCGGTATTAAACCCAAAAATAAATATCTATTAAATTAGAGCTTAACAATTCTTAGATAAGGTGGCTGCATTAGTTTTCTTTTTTAGGCTTTTTTTTCTTTTATTTTCTTTTGGTGTTCCAGCCAGTAAGTCTGATATTTTTCAACAGAACAAGCTCTCCTGCAAATGTACCAGTTAGAGTGTTGAGACCATTTATGACTGACAGGGGTGCCTACAATGATCAGCTTTTATGTATTCATGTTAAAGCATTTTCCCAAAAGAAAAAAAACTGTTGCTATAACTGCTTGTGTAATAGCAGTGTGACCTGGAGTTTGGCTTGAATTTGTTAATGTATCTAAATCTGCTAGTGCATCTTACACTCCCTTTCCCCCAGACTGACAATGCTTCATCCAGAGTAGGAGCACTCTAATACAGGTGTGTTGCTGGCCAGATCACAGGTAGAAACAAGGGGGAAAGCCTAAAAAAAAAAAAACTGATGGAGCCACCACATTGGTAAGCTGCACTATAGGTATTACAACTTTGGTTTAATACCGCTTTAAAGGGATTTTCCACTTTTTGTAAAAGGATGGGAATAACACTTGTAGTTTGCATCTGATGCTTTATGCCAGTGTTCTTTTCCCCCAGATCAAAATCATTCATCTGATTAGAACTTAAGTATATAAAAGCAGTTAATTCACTGTTGAACTACATACCTGTATGAGTTATCTGTATTACAAGTCTGTTTATTCAGTTTTCCAGTATTCTTGCCAGAAACTACATGGCTTCCTTTTTTTCTTTACTGCCATTAAAATAATACAGCATGGTCAAGACTTTGGATTATAATGTACAGCAGCTCACTGATGAGGTCCTGTCATTGCTTACGCCTCCAATGAGAAAGCTGCTTCGTTCAGTTTACAGCACTGTGTAGTAAAGCCTGATTGGCTTTCAGTGCTACCCCTTTAATTGCCAGTCTGATTGTTGATGTACAGGGACTGGTAAGAAGACTGAAGTTTTAATAAATAACTGGATTAAATGGGGATATTCTACATTGTTTGTACTTGCACAATAATAAAGACCAAGAAGGGAATGTTGAACTATTTTTTTCTTTATCGTGCATCTTAGAGAGCTGCTTAAAGTGAACCTGTGTTTTGCCTATTAAGGGTAAATAAAACAGTTCACATTAATGCTTGGTACCCCTGTTGCGTACACTCACCTTCCCTTTGCCCTCCCCACCCAATCCTTGCCAAACTGTTCAATGGGAGTAAAGAGAAATGGTGAGTGCCAGGTATAGTGAATCATGTGACTGTACTCTCTTTTTTGCGTGTAACATTGGTGTTGGTGCAGCACTGTTACATGGGAGCAGGAGGACAGTTACATCAATCAACTCAGCCTAAACTGGGCAGATCCTCCTTGTTTGTGGCCATGAATAGGGCAAGTAAAAGAGGGGCAGGTTCGGTTTTATACTTCTTTCACACAGATGTACTTTAGCGTACACTCGTGCGAGGCCTGCATAGTGATGCACACTGCATTCAGGAGTCCTGCACTCACACTTGCACTGCTGTCAAATAGGAAGCAACGTTTGTGTTCGCGCAGCCAATGTGTCCCAACTGAATTGTATATGACTACATGCAAACACGGACCTCGTATGAGTGTACACACGTGAATGAGACTTTTTAGTGGAACGCTTACTGTGCCATGCCTGGAGGAAGCTTAGGTTGGCATTAAGTGAAAAGGTTTTAGACACCAGAACTAATGGCAATTCTTTCAGTCAAGTTCCAGACAGCCTTGCAGCAGTCACCTTTGGGGAGACCTAGTTTTGTTTCAAGAGCACCACAGGGAAAAGAGCACTCCATGAAAATTTGCCAAATTATTATATAAAACAAACGTGCATTTTTAGCGTTTGTGTAAATATATGTATGTGTTTTTATATACAGTATAATAATAAATATATATATATATATATACACTGTATATATATAAACCACCATTTATACAAACACACACATATATACAGTGCCTTGAAAAAGTATTCATACCCCTTGAAATTTTCCACATTTTGTCATGTTACAACCAAAAATGTAAATGTATTTTATTGGGATTTTACGTGATAAACCAACACAAAGTGGCATATAATTGAAGGAAGGAAAATGATAAATGTTTTTCAAAATTTTTTACAAACAAATGTGTGAAAAGTGTGGCGTACATTTGTATTCAGCCCCCTTTACTCTGATACCTCTAACGAAAATCTAGTGGAACTAATTGCCTTCAGAAGTCACCTAATTCGTAAATAGAGTCCACCTTTGTGTAATGTAATCTCAGTATAAATACAGCTGTTCTATGAAGTCCTCAGAGGTTTGTTAGCGAACATTAGTGAACAAACAGCATCATGAAGGCCAAAAAACAAACCAGACAGGTCAGGGATGAAGCTGTGTAGAAGTTTAAAGCAGAGATAATTTATAAAAAAAAAATATCCCAAGCTTTGAACTTGTCACGGAGCACTGTTAAATCTATCATCCGAAAATGGAAAGAGTATGGCACAACTGTAAACCTTCCAAGACATGGCCGTCCACCAAAACTGACAGGCCGGGCAAGGAGGGCATTAATCAGAGAAGCAGCCAAGAGGCCTTTGGTAGCTCTGGAGAAGCTGCAGAGATCCACAGCTCAGGTGGGAGAATCTGTCCACAGGACAACTTTTAGTCGTGCACTCCAAAAATCTGGCCTTTATGGAAGAGTGGCAAGAAGAAAGCCATTGTTGAAAGATGGCTTTCAACAGATGGCTTTATATGCAGTTTGCGAGAAGCCATGTCGGGGACACAGCAAACGTGGAAGAAGGTTCTCTGGTTGGATGAGACCAAAATTAACTTTTTGACCTAAAAGAAAAATGCTGTATGTGGCGGGAAACTAACAGTGCATATCACCCTGAACGCACCATCCCCACCATGTAACGTGGTGGTGGCAGCATCATGTTGTGGGGATGCTTTTCTTCAGCAGGGACAGGGAAACTGGTCAAAGTTGATGGGGAGATGGATGGAGCCAAATACAGGGCAATCTTAGAAGAAAACCTGTCAGAGTCTGCAAAAGTCTTGAGACTGGGGCAGAGGTTCACCTTCCAGCAGGAAAACGGACCCTAAACATACAGAGCTACAATGGAATGTTTTAGATCAAAGAATATTCATGTGTTAGAATGGCCCAGTCAAAGTCCAGACCTAAATCCAATTGAGAATCTGTGGCAAGATTTGATAATTGCTGTTCACAGACGCTCTCTATCCAGTCTGACAGAGCTTCAGCTATTTTACAAAGAAGAATGGCCAAAAATGTCACTCTCTAGATGTGCAAAGCTGGTAGAGATATCCCCAAAAAGACTTGCAGCTGTTATTGCAGCGAAAGGTGGTTCTACAAAGTATTGACTCAGAGGAGCAGAATACAAATGCACACCACACTTTTCAAATATAATAATATTGTAACATGACAAAATGTGGAAAATTCCAAGGGGTATCAATACTTTTTCAATGCACTATATGTATTTGGTTACAAACTAAAGCTTTCTTTACTCCCCAGGAATTGCACACCAGGTGAAATTACAAATGTGGAGAAATGGAGAAAGGATTAGCTATAACTCCAGAATCAAGATTCTTTGTTAGGCTGTTTTAATATATTTTAAACACAGTGTGCTAATATATTGTTCATTTTGCAGCTGAAAACAACTGATCAGGAGCTTGAAATGATGCTTTCCAACGTTCGAGCCAAGAACAAGAAACTGAAGACTGATCTGGAGAAGTATGCCACTTTAGTTTATCTTACAAAAATAAAACATTTATAACATGCACATACTGTGGTAGCATAAAATGTGTTACAGGCCTTTCTACCTGCAGACTGGTTCCAGGGGGACAGCTAAAATCAGGAGTCCAGGATATGATGTATGGTTGCTTCGTCAAGATCCCTTCTTACTTCTATGAAGTGCCGCAGACATATGGCCAACACACACTGCTTGAGCAGAACCAGTGGATGTCATGCTTGGCACAGTTATGCATTTATATGAACCAGTCTTCTGATACATCCAAAGTGCAATCTGCACATGTGTAAAGGTTTTGCTTACACAGATGCTGATACCAGAGGTATTTTGATAGACAGTAAGAATTGAAACAGGAATTTAGGTTAGATGCTGTTTTCAAAGCATACTAAATGCTTCATGCATTTAGCAGCTTTGACATGCATTTATGATGCAATCAGCAAGCAATTATTATGTATATACAGTGCTCAGCATAAATGAGTACACCCCTTTTGAAAAGTAAGATTTTCATCAATATCTCAATGAACACAAGTACAATTTCCAAAATTTTGAAAAAAAAACTGCGTTTTATAGAACATTTGTTTAGCTCATTACATAAAAGTAAGGTTAATAATATAACTTAGATTACAAAATCTTAATTTTTACTCAAAATTAGTTGATGCAAAAATGAATATACCCCACAACAAAAACTACTACATCTAGTATTTTGTGTGACCTCCATGATTTGTATGGACAGCACCAAGTCTAGGCATGGAATAAACAAGTTGGCAACATATTGCAACATCGATCTCTTTCCATTTTTCAAGAATGACCTCTTTTAGAGCCTGGATGTTGGATGGAGAGTGATGCTCAACTTGTTGCTTTTAGAATTCCCAATTGGTGTTTGATTGGGTTCAGATCAGGAGACATACCTGGCCACTGAATCACTTTCACCCTGTTCTTCAGAAATGCAACAGTGGCCTTAGATGTGTGTTTTGGATCATTGTCATGCTGGAAAAGTGCACGACTACCGCGGGCAGGCGGTAGCATCTTTCTATTTCAATATAGAGCAGTACATCTGTGAATTCATGACACGATCAATGAAATGCAGCTCTCTGACATCAACAGTACTCATGCAGTCCCACAGAAGGACATTGCCACCACCATGTTTCACTGTAGCCACCATGCATTTTTCTTTGTACTCCTCATCCTTGCAACACCATACAGTTTTGAAGCCATCAGTTCCAAAAACATTTATCTTTATCTCATCACTCCAGAGTACAGAGTCCCAGTAGTTGTTTTCTTTTTCAGCATGGGCCCTGGCAAATTCTAGGCAAGGTTTTTTGTGCATGGGCTTTAGGAGTGGCTTGCTTAGTGGACGACACCCATGCATGCCATTCCTCTGCAGTGTACGCTGTACTGTGTCATGGGAAACAATCACTCCAGTTTGGTTTTCTACTTTAGCTAACTGAAGTGAACTTGCATGACAATTTTCTTTAACCCCTCTCATCAGAAGACACTCCTGTCGAGGTGTTAACCTCCATAGATGGCCTGGACGTCTCTGTGAGATGGTTGCAGTTTCATCTTTGTTAAATTTTTGTATTATTTTTGCTACAGTATTCTGACTGATAAGTAAAGCTTTGCTGATCTTCTTGTAGCCTTCACCTTTCTGGTGTAAAGAAATTATTTTCTTTCTCAGGCCTTGTGACATTTCTCTTACATGTAGTGCCATTGCTGACAGCATGAAATGGGAAGGGGTTTTCTTTAAGTAATGCCCTTTTATAAACTGTCTGCTGGACACCTGTTTAATGAATAATTAGACTCACCTGTAGTTGAATTCTTGTTAATTAGGATTTTGTTGCCTAATATTTAGCTTAGCAACATGGTCTTGAATTAATTTGTTAGGGAAAATACTTTTTTGTGTGTGCAAATGAACAAATCTTGCTTGCAATCAATGGCCCGCATTTGTGGGAGTATTTTATGTAGTATAGTGTCCCACAGAAAATGTTGATTCTGAAAGGAAAAGAAAGGTTTTCTGACAAACCTGGTTGGGTGTACTCATTTATACTGAGCACTGTATATATTAACAAATTATACTTAAACAATAGGCATAACAAAACAGAAACGTGTAAAGACTGGCCTTTTCCAATAAAGCATAACAAAATGTAATATATTGCAGCTGACCAGTCCTTGGGTGAGTTTTAGTTTTCTCTCTATTTTTACCCAGTGATCCTGTGAATAACACACTTCCTGTCCTGTTCATTTCATGTCTACTATTTTTCTCCACTGTATCTATGGAGGGAGCCATGGTTGTCAAACAGGCTGAACTTCAAACATGTTTGCATTTGTCCTTCTAAATTACATGGTGTGTTACAGTATAGTCATTTACACAGTAGATATAAGGCTTTTTGTTGCAGCCAAAATAGGATAACAGCTACTTTGTATTTGTTACATGATCCCATTTGCAAGGCTTGAAAAAAATTACCTTTTTAGATACTGGTTTCTGGACCATCCAGCAAGGAAACATCCTCTTAGGTCATGAGTTGACTGGGCAGTTGTATTTGCCATAATTAAACCTGTCTGTACTGTGCAGGCAGATCTTATTGAACACTGTCTGCCATAACTAAAGTTTAAAGCTCAAAGATGTTGTTTCCCCACATTAGACTTTAAGGGCACTTAGAGTCCAAAGATTTTTAAAATGGCTTTTTTCACATTTTATTGTACAAAATTCATCTAAAATTGCAGCATAACAGCTTATACCACAATATTGTAACACATAACCTTAAACAGAACTGTCCGTTCATCTGAAACTCAGGGGTTTGAAGGGTATCACATCTCTAAACTATAATAAATACAGTTAAGTTCATAATGCAAATAATGTATATCTGTACATACTGGTAGCATTTGGGGAAACAACCTCTTTTGGCTATACTTTGGGGATGTGGCACATATGAGAGTACACCCACTATCAATTATTAAAGGTTAAAGCTTGGGTACACACAGTCCGAATATGGCCAGTCCAGCAGGAACCGGCCGACATTCGGAGCATGTGTACAGCTGTCCTTCCGAAAGAAGCCAATCTAAAAACTGACTTTTGTTGAAGGGACATGCTGGAAAACTAGCATCCGAGCAGAATAGTGTGTTCTGACGGGGGATAACAGTCCCCCTGTCAGAACACAAATGCACTGCGGGAGAAATCATTGCACTAGCAATGTCTAGTTAGTACAGCGATCTCAGTTTTTGTTTTTTTTTCGGTTCTGCAGGACTGAAAAAAAAAAAAAAAAAAAAAACCTATGTATGTACCAGGCATAAGGGCCCTTTCACACAGGACAAACTCCATTTAGATGAGTAGAGGATCTGACCCCTGCTGATCAGAGCAGATGGATGGCAAGGTGAGGGTTTACATATACTTTAAGATCACATGAAGTAACAAGGGCATTGCATTTCTGGCACGATCAATAGGTATTGTGTGAGGGCCTACCTGAAAAAAAAATTCCAATCCAATTTATGTCATTTGTAGGTCTTTGCACTACATAGTTAATGCTAAATTGAAAGACGGCTGTACAATCAGAATGTTGCATGTGTGGCCAAGTTAAGACAACAGGAGGGTTTTCTTGGCCAGGGTCCCATGAGAGGTTCCCAGGGCTTTCCACTGCTGGAGATGGCAGTGAAGGGTGAGAGGACTAAACCATATGTAAAGGAACAAGGTTCCCTGCAGGGATAAAGGCAGTGACAAATAGGCAGGCAAGTAATCACAATTACTCCCTTTAGTGTTTGTCAATAGTATTGTTTTATTAAAACTAGAATCATCACAATATGAGTAGTTTTGTTGTCCAATAAGTAAGTCTTTCCACACTCACCACCAATGGCTGTACCATTTTTTCCACTGACCACCAATGTAAGGAGCAATCTTCTCACTGACCACCAATGTAAGGAGTATTGTTTCCACTGACCACCAAGGTAAGCATCATTCTTCCCACTGACCAAAAGTCAGCTGAGCACCAATATAAGGGAGTGCTTCACTGACCACCAATGGTGGGGGATACTTTCTCACAGACCACCTATGTAACCCTACAGTTTTTCTCTCTGCATGGTCTTCTTTGACAATTAATATTATTTGTTTAGTTTAATTTTATTACTGAAAAAAATTGTGTTATATAGAGCTGTTTTGTTAAATATGCCACATCCCTTATTTTTTTATCTATTCTTTTAGCCCTAATTACTGGTCACAAAGTATCCAGAGCTCTAGATATACAGTAGTAATTATTAGCAGGGGTTCCCTGAAGTCCAAAAGTTATTTGAAGGGTTCCTCCATGTCTAAACGGTTGACTAAGTCTGGACTACAAGAATAACACCCAATCCAATAGAACTAAAAGACAATGAGTTACCCAAGTCATATTTTTAGCATGAGTGAACTGATGTACAAATCTGACAATTCCACCAATTCAAATATGTTCGACTTGCTTGAATATGTGGATGCTGCTCTAGGCAATCAGAATTCATGAATTGCACAATTTGCTGCAGGACATACAGATAGACATACACTTATTAAGGTGAAATGTAAAGGGATGAGATTTCACTGAGGCAGTGACAAATAGGCAGGCAAGTAAACACAAAATCAATATTTGTAGCCAATAGGCTATTGTACTTTTAGAGGTTAAAAAAGAGTCATAACAGTTAGGCTAGGTTCACACCTATACAGTTTGCGTTTGATCAGTTTCTGTAGTGCGTTTTGTGTTTTTGCACATGCATTTTTGCTGCGTTTCTGATGCCTTTTGCATTTTTTTTTTCCTTGTTGCTAGGCAGATTTAAAACACATCAGTCAAAAACGTGGCAAAAAGGCATGCTTTTCTCTGCAGTGTTTCCATTGAAGTCTATAAAACCAAAAATGCAACTTTTTGCATTTAAAAAAGTCCCTGACCCTTTCCAAAAAATCCATCGGGTGAAAATGCGGAGATGTGAACATGTCCCATAGGAAATCATGTTAAATGGACTGTAGTGCGTTTCTGCAAAACGCTGCGGAAAACGCTTAGGTGTGAACCTAGGGTTACTGTAGATGACAGCATGAGTTTACACCGCCTGGAGCACCAGTAAGGACACATTGTCACTTTGCTCATGCAGGAGAAAGAGACAGTGCCTTTGCAAAGGGGACCTTTTTATACTGACCTTACCTTCACTCCTTGCTGCTCTGCAGCTGTTGCAGAAATCAGCCATGTCAGCAACCCATGGGAGCAGTGACATCACTCCCATGGTCATGTGATGGTGCTTTGGGGCTAAGGAGTATCTTGGCCTGAGCACTATCACAGGAGGAAAAGGTCACATCCCACAACCCAATATCCAGAAGTGCCAGGTATTCTCAACATCTGTGAAGGAGCAAGGAGCTGTGAGGGAGCGCAGGTAAGGCGAGTATAGCGGGCCAGGGATGTGCTTTTCTTTTTTTTTTTTTTTGCAGACATGGTTTCATTGCCCTGCATGAGCAAGCTGACAATATCTTTTTAATGAAAACTCTTTCTAAAAGAACTATAGTGGCTGCCATAGATCACTTCCATTTTGCAAATGCTAAGTGCCTGGCTGTTATACTGACCCTCTGACTTCACTGCTGATCAGGACTTCTGACCTTACTGTAACATAAATGTAATAGTAGAATCATTTTATCAGTAGTTGAGATGTGATGTGATCAGTAGAAATATGTAATTGTAGATCTAGTTTACTTCCCTGTTATTAAAGATAAGAATTCAGTATTCAGTCAGAGACATATGTTCACCAATTAGCATCTGAAAGGACAGAGCAAGCTTCTAGGCTACAGTTGACACTTAGATGCCAATAAAACGTTCTCACCTATGTAGCCAGAGTTTGCCACCTTCTGGAACCTAAAAGAAGAATCCTAGTCATTTCCACTACATGAATCAGCAGGAGACTGAGAGAAGGCTCCAAAGGGTCTGCAGCTTTGAATTATACCAATAGATCAGAGTAATCTATTTAATCTCTCTTAATAGCTAAAATATTAGTTGCAGAGAGATGAAAAAAATTTCCTTCTGATAGGACACATTTTAGGCTACATGGAATACTGTATTTGTAGCCTATTATTATTATACATGATTTATATAGCACCAACAGTTTGCACAGCGCCAGTACAATTACAATACATTTCAGTACAGAATGAACAGGAGGGCCCTGCTCGTGAAGCTTACAATCTAAAGGAAGGGGAAGGTGATGCAAAAGGTGATCGCTGCTGCGGGGGATGATCTGGTGGAGGTGATTCAAGTACAATTCTTAGGTGGAGGTGGGGTAGGCTTCCGTGAATAAGTGAGTTTTCAAAGATTGCATAAAGGTAGACAGGGTGGGGGCTGACTGGACATACTGGGGTAGGGAGTTCCAGACAATGGGAGAGGCTCTGGAGAAGTCCTGGAGGTGATGAGGGAGCTAGAGAGGAAGAAATCTTGGGAGGAGTGGAGTGGGCGATATCTGCGGATGAGGTTGGCAATGCAGCTAGGGGCAGTGTTGTGGATGGCTTTGTAAGCTGTGGTTAGTATTTTGAATTTTATACGTTGGATTAATGGAAGACCAGTGGAGGGATTGGCAGAGAGGGGCAGCAGTCGCTGATCGGTTGGTAAGGTGTATGAGTCTAGCAGCAGCATTCATAATAGACTAAAGGGGGGATAGCCTGTGTAATGGTAGACCAGTGAGGAGGGAGTTGCAGTAATCAAGGCATAGAATCCCGGAGAAACACCCAAAATGGTTATATGGTGCCTGTTGCGACAGGTGAACAATGATTGGTACTGTCGCAATCAGACTGATGCACTGGTGTTGGAAATCCTATCCTTGACCCAGTGATCAGAACCGTTCCTGGCCCATTCAGCTCTGGGCACTTCAGAACACAGAATGTCCTGAAGGCTGATACAGGAACACCCCCCCCAGGGTTGATTGGCCAAGGGCTAAAGTCCCCCCCACATCCCTATTTCAATAAATTGAGGACCCTGAGATATGGACGATGTAATTTGTACGGAGCCGGTTCCATTTGACTGGCAAATTGCAGGCTTTCTTCGACTTGCTCCAGTCACAGAATAAATCTTGGTTAAAGTTTTATTTCTGTTTTTATTCCCTTTACACAATAGTGAATAACCAATTGGGTGTCTTTTTTTGTATTTTCTTTAACTGTTTTTTCTTTGTACATATTTTATGCACTGCCCACTTTTGGGATATTAAATCATAAAATGAATAAGTGACTTCTGTGTACTTAAGCTTGGGCTCATATCTCCGGAGAGATTGCTGTGTCGTAGTGTCTCTGTACTCGGTCTAAGTTAACTGCCAATCTGTATGCAATTGCACTGCGTGTTGGCAGATAGCAAAGTAGCAGATCTGCCAGACGGAGATCTGTGTTTATGTGGTGGCCCAGCTGACCAGTCTGCAGACAAACTGTTGGGTGGTGGCAAGCTACTGTTTGTTCTGCGTCTGGTGTGGGGGTGTGTGGACAGCGGAAGAGTGATTAACTCCGGGATTCTAGCTTGTAGGATAGCTGGAGGAATCCTAGAAGGGTGTGCCAATTGCTAGACTGCTCCCCAACACCAGATTGTATTTAAGATTCGTATCTGCCTGTGTGTGGTCAGGCAGCTAAATTGGAATGAAGTCTGCCTGTAGTGGTGGCCTGAGGTAGTGCAGGCTGTGAAAGTGTATCACTGCCAGTCTTATATGCTCAAAGTCCCCCTCATTCCCTCTTTACCCCAGTCACGGACCACGCCTCAGTTAGCTAGTCACCGTGAGCGTGCGTTTTATCCGTGACACTTACCAAGACAAAAACTCAGTGATTCAGAAAACCCTGAGGCCAGTTTTTACAAAACATGTATATAAACAATGTAATATTATTGAAATGTGCATGATCACTTAAATGATGGTAAAATCTGCTGACATCTGCTTGTTATGTCAGCCTTTGTGGTTAGTACTGAACAGAAAAGTTTATGACCGTTTGATCAGTACATAAACTATTTTTCTTTTTTCGATACCTTATACCCATAATAACTGTCAGACAATGTATGCTTTTTTTTTTCTGAGGGGTGGGGGCAGGGGGATAGGTACCATGTTTGAGCAAGCCATTCAATATATAGCACAACGTGTAGCACAAAGGTACTATAGAATACCAGTAACAGAGGAGAGCTAATTAAAAAAAAATATTTTTTGTTGCATACTTTTTGCAGTGGAAGCTTTTCTATATTTTGTTTTATTTCTTCTAGAGAAGAACACTGGTTGGATGAACAGCAGAAGGCAGTGGATGCGCTCACGGCCAAGCTAGAGGAGCTGAACAATCAGGCATCCAATATTTCCCAAAGCAGGTATTTTAAAACTTTCTTTTTAAAGCCAGAATAGCTCTGTATTTATTCCATTTTAACATCAGGATATTTGCAGTTCATTTAGAGATGCTCAGTGTAGATAGATAGTTACTGTACATTTCTCTACTGTGGATTTATTCCACCCACTTAATGCTTAATGATACTTACGAGTAGCCACCCAGTCCATAAATTACATTACTGGGCTAGAAGCTACTGTGTTTAGCTATAAAAATTATTTGAAGTTCCACACAAATTAAAACTAACAGTTAAACAGATGGCAGTACTAAGGCTGGCCCAGCATACAATTTCCTTATACAATTTTCCTTTAGATTTAAGCTCTGATAAGCAGGGCCCTCTGTTTCCTCTTGTACCAAATTGTATTGTAACTAATGCCTACCTTCATTTTGTAATGCGCTGCGCAAACTGTTGGCACTATATAAAATCCTGTTTAATTAATAGTAATTTACCAAAAACCATATAATATGAGGTCCAACCTAAACAACACTTTCAATTTGCATCCTATCAGGCAGGCCCTTTTACTATATAGTTGAAAGTAAATCTAAAGGGGATTGTACAGAAAATAGTAAGAAAATTGTATAATTTATGGCCAGCTTCAGAGGTTTCAGAAAGCCACTATCCATTAAAAAAACTCCCTTGGAAGGTTGAATGAGTTTGGTGATGCACAAAGCAAAGAGAGGAAGTTTCAAGCATAGACTTGTTTGCTGTGGAATACTTAAAATCTAGATTAAGATAACTGTGCAAACATTCTGCTTTCAGTATAATTGCAGTATTTTCCTAAAAGCATTAATAGCTCACTGACTGGTTATGTGTTGCTTTGGTTTTTTAAAGAGCAAGTCCACATAAAATGGTTTGAACAAGGGTTTAATTAGTTGCTTTATTAGCCAACTTCAAAGGTCCCTTTTCAGCTTCCCTCCCAAACCATGATATAGCTAACAGCTAACTTTCCTTTATGCTAAGGTATTGCCACATGGTCAGTGCTGTGTTCTCATTATATTATCTAGTTGCTGACCGCAGATAGCCGAATGACGGCTTCACTGCGGCCGGCCAGTTCTGGGTGGACGTCATATGACGTCCCCCCAGAACGCGCTCTCCTGCGCGCCCCAGGGGGCGCGCACCCGGCAATCTCCGTGATCGCTGTGTCCTACGGACACAGCTGATCAGGAGATGTGGTAAAAGGCCAATCATACCGGCCTTTTACCACATGATCAGCGGTGTCCAATGACACGCTGATCACAGGGAAATGCAAGTGCCGGTTCTCGGCTGCACTTTCCTCACGCTGTCAGATCATGAGGAAAGTACTGCCGAGAACCGGCAGTTGTCAGAGCGAGGATCGGCACCGATCATCAGGGCACTGATGATCAGTGCCCTGATGATCGGTGCCCAGCAGTGCCACCCACAAGTTCCGCCCACCTGTGCCCAGCAGTGCGCCCACTAGCTCCGCCCAGCAGTGCACCCACCTGTGCCCAGCAGTGCACCCACCTGTGCCACTCTGCAGTGTCACACACCTGTGCCCAGAAGTGCCACCTACCTGTGCCCAGCAGTGCCACCCACCTGTGCCCACCAGTGCCACCCACCTGTGCCCACCAGTGCCACCCACCTGTGCCCACCCACCAGTGCTGCCCACCAGTGCCACCCACCAGTGCAGCCCAGCAGTGCTGCCAGTCAGTGCCACCAGTCAGTGCCCAGCGGTTGTGCCAGTCAGTGCCGCCAGTCAGTGCCATCTATCAGTACCCATCATCAGTGTCACCTATCAGTGCCGCCTATCAGTGCTGCATATTAGTGCCGCCTATCCGTGACACCTCATTAGTGCTGCCTATCAGTGCCGCCTATCCGTGCCACCTCATTAGTACTGCCTATCAGTGCCCTTTAGTGCTGCCTATCAGTGCCCATCAGTGCCGCCTATCAGTGCTGCCTCATCAACGCACATCAGTGAAGGAGAAAAATTACCTGTTTGAAAATTTTATAATAGAAACAAAGAAACTTTTTTTTTTTTTTCAAATTTTTTGCATTTTTTAATTTATAGCACAAAAAGTAAAGCGCCCAGTGGCGATTAAATACCACCAAAAGAAAGCTCTATTTGTGAGAAAAAAATGATCAAAATTTCATATGGGTACAATGTTGCATGACCGCGCAATTGTCAATCAAAGTGCGGCAGCGCTGAAAGCTGAAAATTGGCCTGGTAAGGAAGGGGGTATAAGTGCCTGGTAGGCAAGTGGTTAATATGCTGAATTCAGCAGGGTATTGCTGATGGTATCACTGAGCATAAACCAGAGAAAGTATGATTCACAGTCCCAGTGGTTTAACCACTTCAAGTCTGGACACTTTCATCCCCTTCCTGTCCAGGGCAATTTTCAGCTTTCAGCACTATCACACTTTGAATGACAATTGCGCGGTCATGCAACACTACCCATATGAATTATTTAGCATTTTCTTGAGACAGATAAAACTTTATTTTGGTGGTATTTATTCACCACTGGGATTTTTTTTTTTTTGCTGTATAAATGAAAGTCCTAAACATTTTGAAAAAAAAAGTGTTTTTCTTATACAATTTTGCAAATAAATAATCTTTCGTCATAAATCTTGGCCAAAATGTATTCATCTATCTTTTTAGTAAAATAAAATAACCCAAATTAGTTTATAACCAAAAATTATAATTTTTCAGAAATGTTTTTGACATTTTTAATTTATTTTTTTATATTTTTTTTTTTTTTTTTTCTTTTAACATACTGTCACCCTAGAAGTACAGTGTCACCATCGTGACACTGTACTACTTGGGGGTGATGAATATTTTTATTTTTTTTACACTGATTGCTTTTACATCCATAAAGGCTGTAAAAGCAATCATTTCTCCTTCTCTCTGGCTTGCAGCCATTGAGAAATACTGAGAGAGCTGTGATTGGTCACAGCTTGTCACATGGTACAAGGCTGTTGTGAATAACCTTGTACCATGTAACCTCTGTGATCATTCACAGATTTCACTAGCAGTAAGCAATGATCTCAGAAGTGACATCTTGCTTACTTACTTATTCATGTGATCACTGATTGGCCAATCTGTGATCACATGATTGGGGCCTCACACAGAGGTCCTGTACAGTGATCGGTGTTCCGTTGTGTCCGGAGTACACAGCAGGCACCGGATCACGGTGCGCTCGCTCTTAGGGAGCGTACTCAGGCAGGGAAGCGGGGAGGACGTTTATAAATGGCAGGACAGGAAGTGGTTAATAACCTGACCTTGGCCCTAGGTTCAAGCTCACTGAATAAAATAGATGCAGTATATTCTAGAGCAGTGAACTTTCGGGCGATAAAAAGACTTAGCTGAGAAGCACATAAAGAAAGAAACCATGCAGCTCATTCTATGAACATCTTTTTGGGTGGGGTTCTTTGTAGAAAACAATCATTCTTTATTAAAGTATTGGAATTGTTGCTTAAAATGGCCAATAATATTCCTGGGAGAATAGAAGGAAGAATCTGGTTGCTGTGGGCAAGACAAGGTCAGAGCTCTTGTTAAAACAGGGCCTGTTGTGTTTAGCTGAATATCAAATGTATAAATGTGTTTTTATTAATCTTGATTTTATCTGAACTCTCGGTCAAGTGTACATGAGAAGCTAAAAACTAGGCTTCAGAAAGTGGGATCCTACAGGGATGAATTATTAACTGCACTTGGAGACTTTCTATCTGAAAACTTCCCTCTTCTGGAGGAACCGGATAAGAGGGTAAAGAGGAAAAAGGTAACTTTTACTTGACCTTCACTTTTTGTCACAGTGTAAAACATTAAACTAGTATTAAACCCAAAAGCAAACATTTATTATTTTGCAGCTTACCAATTCTTAGATGTGATGGCTGTATTAGTTTCCTTTTTTTAAGGGTTTCTTTCTTTTCTTTTCATTTGGTGAACCAGCCAGCAAGTCTGTTATTTTTCAAAACCTCAACTTTTTCAGCTCTCCAGCAGAATATATCAGTTTACATGGAGGAGACCAACAACTAAAAGCAATTCTAAAGGTTCTTTTTTTTTTTTTTGTAAAATAACAAACATGTCTATACTTACCTGCTGTGTGCAGTGGTTTTGCACAGAGCAGCTTGGATCCTCCTCTTCTTGGGTCCCCTGCAGGCTCTCCTGGCTCCTCCTGTCTGTCGGGTGCCCCCACAGCAAGTAGCTTGCTATGGGGGCACCCGCTGCTCTGTGTCCATTCACACATGGAGCCGCTGCTTGACCCCGCCCTCTCTCATTGGCTGACTGACTGTGATTGACAACAGCGGGAGCCTTTTGCTTTTTGTCTCAGCCAATGAGGAGGCAGAGACCTGGGGCAGCCGAGGCTGTCATTCACATTGTTGGATCGCGATCAGGCTCAGGTATGTTTTAGGGGGGGCTGGGGGAGCTGCTGCACACAGAAGGTTTTTTACCTTTATGCATAGAATGCATAAAGGTAAAAAACCTTCTGCCTTTACAACCACTTTAACACTGGCAGAGGGGATCAAAATGATCACTTTTTATTTTTTCATGCAAAGCCTTTATTTCAAAATTAAAAACACTGTTTGCTGTAATGTATAAGTGTGAGCTGAAGATTGACTTTAATTTGTTAGTGGTTTTAAATCTGCTAATACATTTAACACTCCCCTCCCCCCTCAGACTGACAGTGGTGCTGTCCGCATGTGCTCCCTGTAATTAGTCTTCCAGAGTTGTGTCTGACTAATACAGGATGTGTATTACTAGCCAGATCACCAGGTGAAAACGGAAAATACACCAAAGAAAAGCAGTGCCTCCACCACCGCATCTAATGATTTGTAAGCTGCAATAAAATACATTTTTCGTTGTGGGTTTAGTTCCACTTTATAGTTAAATAGTCTTTTGTTTAAGCCCAATTGAAGCTTTGCCATTTCTTATTGTATTAGGCTTAGTTTATGTGAGTGGAAAATGGGCAGTAAAAATTCACCAACCACCCACAAAAAAGCACTGCTGCCATTGAGGTCTGTTCACATTGATCCGATTCTTCATTTTGTAGGAATTTTAGCTTGGCATGTCATGTTTGGCAGGTTGTGCCACTTCCCAAGCACACCCACTGAAGTCATAAGTTGCTGCGTGGTATTGCAATGCAAAATCCCCCTTGGTATCAGGCAAACCAAAAGCATGCAGGAGGTGGCAGATTTGCTTCCTGAACACCTGCAAACTGACATTCAAGTGTCTTATGATTAGTCCCTTACTTAATCCCTTATGATAAAGTCGATGACGAAACGCGTCAAGGGAAAGTGACGTCAACGCGCACACGGAAACCGGAAGTTGACCGGCGGCCATCTTGGATGAGGGAAACGATCATCTGATTTCCCCTGGGCACTTCCTGGATAACAGTAAACTATTTCTGAGTACTTTTAAGCGGTTTTTAAACTGATGAAATGTGAGCATTCTAATTAAAGTTGATTATAAGATTGATTCTGGCGGTATTACACTATTGTGTTTCCTATATATTCATATTTATATGATACATGCCTGATGTGGATATATGGAGTCTCAAGGCTGTTGGATCCTGATGCTAATATGAAGGCAGACTATATTGGGTAAAGATCAATAGGAGGACTGTCTCCCACCTTCCTTTTGGAAAGATATAAAAAAAGCGTCTATCTTTCTGAATATTGGTAAGGGTATGCATTCCTTACTGCACTTAGAAGTGTCACAGTGCTGGTTGGAATAGAGCACTGAAGAGTGATTCACATTCACAAGGGTTTTCATTGTTTTTGGCTTCACAGTTTTTTTCATTTTGTTCACTTTTTTTCACGGATTATTTATATGATTGGGTATTCTCTGATATGAAGTCACTATTATTTATTTAGTTATAAAAAAAGATAATGCACTATGTGAATATTTTTTCTTTTTAAAGTACATTATCGGAGGAACTTTTTGAAAGGTTCTTTGAACACAAGATGAATTTGATTTAAAGATTGGACTTAAAGGGTTTGGACTGCACATAGTTTTTGAGGACTTATGGTATAGCATTTTCTGTTTGTTGATTTTTGTACATCTTCTGGGGTGAAGGTGTTGATGGTGCTGTGGGGAATTGGATTTATTTATTAAGAGAGTATTTTTGATTTTATTAAAAGTTCAAAATACCCTGTGCTAGTTCAGGCTATTTTACCCATTGCGACAACAAAGGACAGTTAAAAACTAATATGAACAGCTCTCAATTATTACGTTTGTGCAGCCTAGCCGCATTTCAGTAATAAATGGCAAACTTCAATTGGGCTTTAAAGCACTTATGTAAATTGTCTTAAAAGTCAACATAAGCCTTTGCTGTATAGCTAGAACTGTACATTTGGCTTTAGAAAGTTGATGACAAGATATGGCATTGGATTACATCTCCTATCATATCAGAGGCAATTTTTTCATTTGCTTATAAATACTATATGAAAAGTGCCCTATTAGTTCTGTATGCTAGAAAGCCACACTCTGTAAACACCATCTTAGTTCCCTTATTAAATGTAGTCAATTATTCTCTGTCCATTTTCTGTGCTGCTGCTCAGTTCTGTCTTCAGAAACCCGTTGCTTTTAGTAGAGCAAAATTATCCTGTAGCTACAGTTGCAAGAAAAAGTATGTGAACCCCTTGGGATTACGTGGAGTTTTGCATGAATTGGGCATAAAATGTGCTCTGAACATCATCTAAGTCACAACAATAGAAGAACACAGTCTGCTGAACATAATACTACACAAACATTAGATGTTGCCATGGTTTAATTGCACATAACAAGTAAACATTCACAGTGCAGTGAGGAAAAAGTATGTGAACCTTTGGACTTAATAACTGGTTGACCCTCCTTTGGCAGCAATAACCTCAACCAAACGTTTCCTGTAGTTGCAGATCAGACCTGCACAACAATCTGGAGTAATTTTGGACCACTCCTCTTCACAAAACTGTTTCAGTGTAGCAATATTCTTGGGATGTCTGGTGTGAATCGCTCTCTTAAGGTCATGCCACAGCATTTCAATCGGGTTGAGGTCAGGACTCTGACTAGGCCACTCCAGAAGGCGTATTCTGTGCTGTTGCAGCCATTGTTTTGTTGAATTACTTGTATGCTTTGGGTCATTGTCCTGTTGCATCACCCATCCTCTGCGGAACTTCAGTTGGCAGACAGATGGTCGTATGTTTTCCTGCAAAATGTCTTGATAAACTCTGGAATTCATTTTCCCATCAATGACGACAAGCCGTCCAGGCCCTGAGGCAGCAAAGCGGCCCCAAACCATGATGCTCCCTCCGCCATGTTTTACAGTGGGGATGAGGTTTTGATGTTGGTGTGCTGTGCCTTTTTTTCTCCACACATAGTGTTGTGTGTTCTTCCCAAACAACTCAATCTTGGTTTCATCTGTCCACAGTATATTTTGCCAGTAGTGCTGTGGAACATCCAGGTGCTCTTTTGCAAACTTCAAACGTGCTGCAATATTCTTTTTGGACAGCAATGGCTTCCTCCGTGGTGTCCTCCCATGTACTCCATTCTTGTTTAATGTTTTCCATTGTATGTGCCAGAGATTTTCTGTAGGTCTTTAGCTGACACTCTGGGATTCTTCTTTACCTCATGCAGCATTCTGCGCTGTGCTCTTGCAGTCATTTTTACAGGACGACCAAGCCTAGGGAGAGTAGCAACAGTGCTAAACTTTCTCCATTTGTAGACAGTCTGTCTTACCGTGGACAAATGAACATCAAGGCTTTTGGAGATACTTTTGTAACCCTTTCCAGCTTCATGCAAGTCAACAATTCTTGATCGTAGGTCTTCTGAGAGCTCTTTTCTGCTAGGCATGGTTCACATCAGACAGTGCTTCTTGAAACCAGTAAACCCAAAACAGGTGTGTGTTTTTTAAGGGCAGGACAGCTGTCAGCAACACATCCAATATCATCACACTGATTGGAGTCAAGGTTGGCTCACTCCTGGCTCCAATTAGCTCTGGGAGAAGTCATTAAGCTAGGGCCTCACATACTTTTTCCTCCCTGCAATGTGAATGCTTACATGTTATGTGCAATTAAACCATGGCAACATCTAATGTTTGTGTAGTATTATGTTCAGCAGACTGTGTTCTTCTATTGTTGTGCCTTAGATGACATTCAGAGCACATTTTATGCCCAATTCATGCAAAACTCCACGTAATCCCAAGGGGTTCACATACTTTTTCTTGCAACTGTAAATGTAAAGATAGTTGTCAATCCAAATAAAGGACTGCACACCTTCAAAAAGTTTTACACTTTGTGTTATGATCTGCCCCCTCAGGCACATCCATGGAATGCTTCACACCTATGCTTTTTCCACTGTGTGTTGCAGAAACGCACAGCAGTTCATTTAACATGATTCCTATGGGACAGGTTCACATCTCCACGTTTTCACCCGGTTTGTTTTTTGGAAAGTGTCAGAGTTTTTTTAAATGCAAAACGTTGCGTTTTTGGTTCTATAGACTTCAATGGAGATACTGCAGAAAAGCATGTAGTGTTTTTTTCATGCGTTTTGCGTATTATTATGCCCAGCAATAAGTTGAAAAAAACCCTCAAAATGGGGAAAAAGCGTGGCAGAAACGCACAAAAGTCCACCTAGTTCAACCATAAAAAAAAAAATTATAATCCTATACCCACAGTTGATCCAGAGGAAGGCAAAAAAACTCAGCAAAGCATGATCCAATTTTCTCCTGTAGGGGAAAAAAGTCCTTCCTTATCCCCCCAGAGGCAATCGGATATTCCCTGGATTAACTTTACCTATAAATGTTAGTATCCAGTTATATTCTGTGTCTCTAGGAAAGAATCCGGGCCTTTTTAAAAGCAATCTACTGAGCTGGCCAGAACCAACTCTTGAGGGAGTCTATTCCACTTTTTCACAGCTCTTACTGTGAAGAAACCTTTCCATATTTGCAGATTAAATTTCTTTTCTTCCAGACGTAAAGAGTGCCCCCTTGTCCTCTGTGATGACCTCAGGGTGAATAGCTCTACACCGAGTTCACTATATGAACCACTTATGTATTTATACATGTTGATCATATCCCCCCTTAATCTCCTCTTCTCAAGAGAGAATGAATTCAGTTCCTTTAATCTTTCCTCATAGCTGATCTCCTCAAGTAGTTGTACAAAGGAATTGTAATTACTGATTTTTTTTTAACCCACGCTTATCATAAATTGAACTGTGTATCAGCAACGTATCAATAAAGTTGCTCTTAATAGCACTGCAACATTTTGGCTATACTCTGATCCTTTCTCAAGCTAGTGCTACTTTTTCGTGGGCAAAGTGGCAGTCTCTTCAACTAAAAGGCTAAAAAAGATAATGTAAAGGAAAGTTATTAATGTTGCTCCACTGAAATTTTAGCAAGACTCAAGACATTCCTACCTTTTCTTTTGGGGAATGAATGATTTAAAGGGTCACTGGACTACCTTTCATTCCTAATTTTTTTCTGCAGAACAGAACCGTTCTCTGGAATCACTTGTTCACAAGCATGTCATAAAGAGATTACATACTGTACCTACAATAGGTGAACTATCGGAAACATAATGTAACTTGCCTTTGCTATCTATCTTCAGGGTGCAGCTGAATCAGCACAAGTAGAATGGATACCATTAGCAGATATTTTAGAGGTAAATGTCTATAAAATTGTACATAAAACTCTTGCCCCTCCGCTGATCACGGGGACTGAGCCCCTCTCAGCCTCGGTGGGATCTATGACATTTCTTTAATTTGTTGCCTTCCTATAAGAACTTACTACTGATTAAATGTTATAGATATTACTCCTGGACTTCGCTCTGCTGATCTGACTGTGCAAAGAATAACATTTATATGTACAGTCTGAATGTGTGTGTTTTCTGGTGTACACCTTGTATTCTCTGTACTCTGGTTTTAAAATGTTTTCTGTTAATACCTCGCTACCTATTTTCAAAACCGAAAAAAAGCACAAAATCTAAATTGTACATAAGGATCCCTTTTGTGGGTTGAAGGACTGATAATCTAGCAATGTAGATTTGCCCATCGCCGCTGAGATTCTTTGGATTCTGAGGGGACTACACTGCTGGACAGCAAAAGAAAGGGTCACGTCACGCATACAATCATATGGATACCTAAAGACTTGACTGGACTGGAGAGTCACATGCCCACAGATTTTAGTGTGTACATAGGGCAGTTAATTAGTTAGTGGGGGTTGGGGATGGTAATCCCAAAGTTCAGTTTTAAAGGATTTCAGTGTAAGAAAACACAGTGTAATAGAACAGTCTAAGTACACTACAATCTTGAGATGTTTGAACAAAATAAAAAAGACTGAACATTAGGCCAGTCCACTCCCATTGTCTGTAATCTGTTGATCCTGAAACACACCTACTGGTGATGCTGGAACGGCTTTCTTTTTGCCTCAACATGCAGAGTCCGATGTAAAAAAACAAAAAAAAAAAAAATGCCAGTATTAAAAAGTTTCTGACAGCCACCAATCAGATGTTTGCCTTGGAAGTCTGAAAAAATGTGATTGGCAGTGCAGACAGCTGAAATAGAAGAGGTTCCACAAGCATATGCTTCAGGAAATACACTCAATTACCAACCTTTTAGAGCACGGGTGTCAAAGTGGCAGCCCTCCAGCTGTTGCCAAACTACAAGTCCCAACAAGGCATTGCAAGATTTACAGTTACAAGCATGACTACCAAAGGTAGAGGCATGATGGGACTTGTAGTTTTGCAACAGCTGAAGGGCCACCAGTTTGACACCCGTGTTTTTGTGCATTAGCAGTTTATTGAATCTTATGCGTTTGCTGGAATTATTTTTCAATAACTATGCTGCTCCTCCTGAAGATGGATTGTTTTCTATGCACATTAATCGATCTCCCTGAATAAGCTGTTATCTTTGTTATTCTTTAAAACCACTAAAGAAGGCCATATATGAGTTCTGACCCGATTCCCTCATCAACACATTGGAGGTGGATGGGGGAATCTTCCCAGATGCACTATTGTATTCTGACAGCTGGAGACTCCCCTGCTGTCAGAATACACATATCAATTCTGCAGCCACTGATCGATCAACTTTTATCTGACAGGACAGTTGATCAGAAGTTGATCCACCTTTCAGAGGTTCTCTTTTTAGAGGTTCTCTAGTAATACATCATCACTCTTTTGGCTCTTGCTTACTCCCTGTCTATGGCTAACAATGCCTTTAGGGCAGACACAATGAGGTAATGATTTCATGTCAGAGATGAATGGGGGAACAGTGACAACAATGCTCTAAATACAGCAGCAGTGGCATAGTGATTTTCTTGGACAGAAAGCAAGGGCATAACAACAACCCTGGCAGGAACAACAGGTAAATACTTGGGAATGACAGAACTTTTAATAATAGCAGATTTATATGTTGTGTATTGAAAGCATGGTCTTTATATACATCAGCCTGGACTTCCATTTTATAAACTATAATGCAAAACTAATAATATTTAAATACACACCATTTTATTCTTTTGCCTTTTTTATTTGGCATGAACAACCAAACATAAAAATATTACTCTTTTCTTGTTCGCAATCCAGATGCTTATCGATGTGGGGGGAGTTGAGCTTTACAGAATAAGTTATATCTTAACAAAGATGCAAAAAGGATGTTTTTTTTTTGTTGTTTTTTTTTTTTTTCCTGGCAAATTTACCATGACATTCTCAAAGAGACCTTCACTTCCAAACCATTGTCCTTTAGACTCAAAGCCATTGTCTAAGTGATTATACAGCGATTATATTATGTGAAACATTTGGTTCTTCTCAATGGCTGCACACTTGGGTCACTGTGACATTGACTGAGATAAGAGAGTGACACATCAATTTATATTGATACATTGGAGACTCGTTATTGTAGATCTGCTGATTTACACTGTGCCTCCAAACAAAAAGAATAATGACTTCCAAAGGAAAGTATTTTTATGGTTTTAAAATTTATAGGAAGTCATTTCTCTCTCCCAGCCTTTAGTTTTACTATTGCATTTCAGATAGCAGAGAAAAGTGCATAAATACATGAATGCATATAATTTGTATAAATCTCAAAAAAACATTTATTTAATTCTAGCGTTCTTTTTTTACATGCAAAATAGATTTTAGAATCTATTTAACCACTTCAATGCCAGGCACTTTTATCCCCTTCCTTCCCAGGCCAATTTTCAGCTTTCAGTGTTGTGGCATTTGAATGACAATTGCATGGTCATGCAACATTGTACCCCTAAAAATGTTTTTTATTTTTTTGACAGAGTTTTTTATTTTTTGCTAAATAAACAAAAGAAAAAAAAAAAAACAAACATTTGAAAAAATAAAACGCATGTATCTTCATTCTGTTGTAAAATTTTGCAAATAAATAACCTTCATAAATTTAGATCAAAATGTATTCTGCTACATTTGTTGGTGAAAATACCCTAAATTAGTGTATATTATTTAGTCTGTAGGAAAGTTATAGAATCCACAAACTATGGCATATACAGTGGATATAAAAAGTGTACACGCCCCTGTTAAAATGTCAGGTTTCTGAGATGTAAAAAAAATGAGACAAAGATAAATCATTTCAGAACTTTTTCCACTTTTAATGTAACCTATAAACTGTAGAGCTCAGTTGAACAACAAACTGAAATCTTTTTAGGTGGAGGGAAGTAAAAATAAAAAACTAAAATTATATGGTTGCATAAGTGTGCACACCCTTAAACTAATACTGTGTTGAAACACCTTTTGATTTTATTACAGCATTCAGTCTTTTTGGGTATGAGTCTATCAGCATGGCAGATCTTGACTTGGCAATATTTGCCCACTCTTCCTTGCAAAAACACTCCAAATCTGTCAGATTGCGAGGGCATCTCCTGTGCACAGCCCTCTTCAGATCACTCCACAGATTTTCGATCGGATTCAGGTCTGGGCTCTAGCTGGGCCATTCCAAAAATGTAATCTTCTTGTGAAGCCATTCCTTTGTTGATTTGGATGTATGCTTTGGGTCATTGTCATGCTGAAAGATGAAGTTCCTCTTCATGTTCAGCTTTCTAGCAGAAGCCTGAAGGTTTTGTGCCAATATTGACAGGTATTTAGAACTGTTCATAATTTCCTCTACCTTGACCAGTTCCAGCTGAAGAAAAATAGCCCCAAAGCATGATGCTGCCACCACCATGCTTCACTGTTGGTATGGTGTTGTTTTGGTGATGTGCAATGTTGTTTTTTACACCAAACATATCTTTTGGAATTATGGCCAATTAGTTTAACCTTGGTTTCATCAGACCATAACACATTTTCCCACATGCTTTTGGGAGGCTTCAGTTGTGTTTTTGCAAAATTTAGCCGGGCTTGGATGTTTTTCTTCATAGGAAAACACTTCTGTCTTGCCACTCTACCACATAGCCCAGACATATGAAGAATACGGGAGATTGTTGTCACATGTACCACACAGCCAGTACTTGCCAGATATTCCTGCAGCTCCTTTAATGTTGCTGTAGGCCTCTTGGCAGCCTCCCAGACCAGTTTTCTTCTCATCTTTTCATCAATTTTGGAGGAACGTCCAGTTCTTGGTAATGTCACTGTTGCGCCATATTTTCTCCACTTGATGATGACTTTCTTCACTGTGTTCCATGGTATATCTAGTGCCTTGGAAATTCTTTTGTACCCATCTCCTGACTGATACCTTTTAACAATGAGATCCCTCTGATGCTTTGGAAGCTCTCTGTGGACCATGGCTTTTGCTGTAGGACGCAACTATGAAAATGTCAAGAAAGACCTACTCGAACAGCTGAACTTTATTTGGGGTTAATCAGTGGCACTTTAAATGATGGCAGGTGTGTACTGACTCCTATTTAACATGATTTTGAATGTGATTGCTTAATTCTGAACACCACTACATCCCTAGTTATAAGAGGGGTGTGCACACTTATGCAACCACATAATTTTAGTTTCTTATATTTACTTCCCACACCTAAAAGATTTCAGTTTTTTTCTCAGTTGAGTTGTTCAGTTTATAGGTCATATTAAAGGTGGAAAAAGTCCTGAAATGATTTATCTTTGTCTCATTTTTTTACATCACAGAAACCTGACATTTTAACAGGGGTGTGTAGACTTTTTATATCCACTGTATATCTGACAATCGATCAATCCTGATGTACTGACGGCCCATGTAATTTCTTGAGGCCTGAAAACGCCAGGATAGTACAAATACCCCACAAATTACCCATTTTTTTGAAAATAGACAGTCCAAAGCATTTAGTAAGAGGCACGCTGAGTTTTTTGGAGGTTGTAATTTTTTAAAATTTTTTGGAAAACATAGAATTTAAAATAAAATCACAATTTTTTTTTTACATACTATCACCAATCCAGTACAGGGTTATTATATAACTGGTGTGGTGGTGATCAGGAACACTGGTGACAGTATGTAAAAAAAAAAAAAATCATTTAATTTTTTATTATTTTTTTTTCAAATTTTTCTATTTGTTTAATTTTTTATTACATTATTTTTTCTTTTTTTTTACTATTTTTTTTTCAGCACACTGTGACCAAAGCAAATCAACATTGAACTACTCTGGCAAGCAAGTGATCAGGATTTTTTTTTTTTTTACACATTATGATTGCCAATACCAGTGTATTTCATTGATATTTGCAATCATTATTACTGAATGAAATTTATTCATTCAGTCTGTTGTTGTGATTTAGCTGTGATTGGGCAAAGCTCAACACATGACACAGATGGACTGTGATTGGCCCTGTTTGTACCATGTGACTGATTTGACCAATCACAACTAACAACACAATTGTATACCATGGATGGCAAGACAAGAAGCCATCCATTGTATCCAATTGTCATGTGATCTGCTGTGATTGATCACAGTGGTCACATGACACTGGCAAAGGGCCGGTGTAGTGATGTGTCATCAGCTGTGTCCTGTGGACACTGCCGGTGACAGATCGCGCCGCTGCACAGTTCCTTCTGACAGGATGTCATATGACGCCCAGTCAGAAGGAGGAGTGTTCAGCCCGGTTGTCAATCTGCTATAGGCCGGGTGGGAAGGTGTTAACGTTTATCTTGGGAGTATTGGAAAGACTTCAGTGGTGCTGAGAAAGGAGCTCTTTTCTGTGCTTGGGAGCCCTGAATCCTGAGCTACTGTAATTAGTAGCAACACTCTAAGTCCCTGGCCTTACCCTATTTAGCCTATTCTGTATTCCTAAGACCCAGGAAGGCTACCTGTACTATTGATGGGTAATTCACCATTCAGTTTGTATCACCATGCACTGCTAAGTTAAGTAAACCATAAAAGTATAATGCTTTAACCTTGGTAAAAGCTGAACAACCACAGTTGGACCCAAGTTCTAAGGATTTTCCCAAAGCTGTCTGAACTGTCACTCATCCACATTAAGAAGCCCTTTCCCTGTTCAACCTGCATAAATAAAGCTGGTCTTGTGTTACTCTGGATAAAATGCATACTCTAAAGACTAGGTAAGCTAATAATAAGTAGTAATACAATTGTTCTGCTCCAGCTTACATTGCCTAAAATTGCAAAAGTGTATCCCTTCCCAGGCTTCTCTTTCCAAGACTAGCAGTTACAAACTCGTTATTGTGATCTCTACCAGTCATTTCTATATAGGTATGTCTTCTCAAAAGGACAAAGCAAAGATAAGGGGGTGGGGGTTAAGGCAAGATGAAGATACCACAACAAATAAAGGGTGGAAAATGTATAAAAATTGGAATTCTAGATTCATGCTAACTAGCCCCGAAACTGTCCCTTCCCCTCTCCTAACACCTATGCTAACTAACCTGTGTATAAAAGATGCATATACTTATCTATTTTCAGCCCAGTCCAGTCACATGATCACCTGTGACAGCTAGCAGTGGCTGCAGAAGAGAAAAGAGTAATGTAAGCAAGTATATGCATCTTTCTTATACAGGTTAGTTAGCATGGGTGTTAGGAGGGGGGAGGGGACAGTTTTAAGAATAGTTAGAATGAAGATGGAATTCCACTTTAACCACTTCCCGTCCAGCCCCTGTACACAAACGGCCGGACGGGAGCAATGCAAGAGTGGGTGGCCATTTATAAACGGCCTCCGCATTCCCTGCCTGTGCACGCTCCCTGGGAGCGCACGGCACCGCGATCCAGTGCCCGCTGTGTCCGGAGGTCTTCTGTGTGAGGTCCCAATCATGTGATCACTGATTGACCAATCAGTGATCACATGAATAGTAGTAAGCAAGATGTCACTTGCTGACATCATTGCTTACTACTAGTAAAATCTGTGAATGATCACAGAGGTCACATGGTACAAGGCTATTCACAACAGCCTTGTACCATGTGGCAAGCTGTGACCAATCACAGCTCTCACAGTATTTCTCAATGGCTGAAAGAATTTATGGGTGTAAAAGCAATTAGTGTAAGGAAAAAAAAAAAAAAAAACATCACCCCCACAAGTAGTATGGTGACACTGTACTGCTAGGGTGACAGTATGTTAAAAAAAAAAAAAACATAGATAATAAAAAAAAAATAAAATTAAAATTTAGAAACATTTTTTTAAAAATTATAATTTTTAGTTATAAACTAATTTGGGTTATTATTATTTTTTTTTTACCAAAAAGATAGCTGAATACATTTTGGCCACGATTTATGAAGAAAGATTATTTGCAAAATTTTATAAGTAAAAACACTTTTTTTTTCAAAATGTTTGGACTTTTTCATTTATATAGCAAAAAAATAAAAACCCCAGTGGTGAATAACAAAGTTTTATCTGTCTCTAAAAAAATTCATATGGGTACAGTGTTGCATGACTGCGCAATTGTCATTCAAAGTGTGATAGCACTGAAAGCTGAAAACTTGGCCTGGACAGGAAGGGGGTGAAAGTGTCTGGACTTGATTTGGTTAAATAAAGTCTATGGTCATAGCATATGCATTAATTTTATAACAGCAGAATAGTAATAACAATACAAACAGTAGTTATTTTTGATACTCCAGTATCAGCTTACTTGAAAATCTCCTTTCATGTTGTGAGTGTTGTCTTTCTGCTGGCCATCTCTTTCCACAACTTCCTGGATTCCCCGCATGCTTTGAGCTTCTCCTCTATTTGCTGTCAATTTCCAAGGACTACATATCCCATGGTTCCTTGCTTAATGCAAACAGTGATTCCTGTACTGACTTCACCTCCTGAAACTCCTCCTCTCAGCTCTTCTGCAGTTAGGACAGCAGCCTCTGTGAATTCTCTGACACAGCAGTGCCTACTGACAGAACATAGTGAATGTGATAGAATTCAAGGCAGTAAATGCGTGGGCAACTTCACAAAGTAAGTTTCCAATTTTTAAGATCGTTCAGATTAATGGGAGCAGGCTAGAAATAATTGAAATACAATGTAGAAATTAATATATGATTTTACATTTTGACTATAGAGAAGCTTTAAGCTTTATATATTGTCAGCAGTTTTTCCAGCGTTCTGACAAAAACTAGGTATCGGGTGGATTTGTTTTTTAAACAGGAGCAGACAGAATCTCGAGCAGCTGTGCATAGTAACCTATCACCTTCAAACTTCAGCTTGTTCAATTAAACTTTGAAAATAAAAGCTGGAAGCTGATTGATTGCCATATACAGCTGTTCTAAGTTCAGCTGCTCCAGTCTTATAGTAAAGTCTCCTCAGTCAGTTACATTTATGAACTGTCTTCTCTTCCTGCTGTGGAGAAACAATCACTCAGATTCTATAAATGGTTTGAACTGCCTGTGCACCTCCTTTAACAGTGACAGCACAGGAATGGGAAAAGGTTGTTAAGTGCAACGATAGACAGGCAATAGATATTAAAATATATATATATTCTTAAGAAGCAGTAACTAAGCTTTATAACAATCCCTGAGTGATCTCTGCCACAGCATGCACTGTGGAGTAATTAATCCTTGAAATTCACAGTAGGAAGCACTTTCATTTCATCTTCTCACCCCCTTCCAGCAGTGACTTGACAGCTTGCTAGCCTTCTAAACACACAGTAGGTACACAGGAAGTGGGGAGAGCAGAGTGCTGAGACCTGACTTAGCCCCAGTTCACACTGATGCGGTGTGGGAAACAGCAATTCCTGTACATTTCCCGCATACCAATTGCACTGTGTTCTGCAATCTGCTGCGGGTGTCAGGGAAAGTTAAGAACATCCCAAACACAGGTCGCAAATGCAGTGTAGTGTTTATACCCATGCAATCTGGTTTCAGTGCCAATAAAAAAAGCTGCCCGCACGTTTTTGATGCAGTGTGATTTGAGCCATTCAAAATGAATAGGCTCAAATCATATTGCACAGTCATGTGTTTTGCACAGGAATACAGTGATTCCTCTGCAATTCACATGCAGTTCACAGTGTGAACCTATGCTCAAATGACTTTGGAAGCCCTTTATTTGCTGTGTCTTTCTCTTTTAGCCAATGAAATTGTGAAAATATTGCGAACTGTGAACCCGCAAAATGGAAAGTGCCTGGTGGTAGTTACCCTGAATTTTTAGATGTAACTCCATATTTAAGTGAAAGATGTAAATTATTTTAATATATAATTACTAATTTGCCTAAACCTTTATTGCTTATTATCTTTTAGGCCCTCATCAGCAAAAATTTTGGATTCTCCTCATGATCCTTACATTAGAATTAAAGAGGAATTTTGGCCACCTTATATTGAAATGTTACTCCGATATGGAATTGCATTGCGCCATCCTGAAGATCCAAACAAAATACGTCTAGAAGCTTTCCATCAATGATCTGACATACAAGCTTGATCGATCTGTTTCTCATGTTTGTGATCCTGGCTAATATGCCTCTGAAAACAGGTTCAAGTCATCCTTTAATGAGTAGCTCTGTTGTCAGAACGCCTTTTTTTTTTTGTTGATATTTCAGTTCTTTTTTTGAAAGACAGATATGAACGACAACTGAAAAAACAGAAAGAATGTGAGGTGGTTATACATTGCAGGAATGCAGATTATGGTCATAGCATAACTTGCTCTAATTATTTGGCTGGAAATAGAATAAATGTTGCCATTTTTAAAGAAACACATAAGCCAGAATGCACTTTTTCTCAGGTTGGCTGCTTCCTGAGAGTTATAGAATGGGCCATGGAAATATGTGATAACTTTTATGAAGATCAAGAGTCCTACCACCTTTATTACCTTATTTTTTTATTATTTTTTTAACTGTAACTTTGAAAACAAAATTATATTTCAGAAAAGTGTTATTCACTAGACTTTAGACGACATTGCAGAATTTCAGCATTTCTCTCCACAAGTGGACAAGGATTGGTCTGCTGTAATGGTAATGAGCATATTTTTAATACCTGTTCTCACACTCTCAAATTTTCTAGCTCCCTGAAACATTCCTGAGCAATTAGGTGTTCATTGTTTGTCATTTTTCTATAGAGAAAAGGCAATAAGACTGTCAATGCATGTTTGACACATCCTTCAGTCAGCCAAGTCAGGAGTCAAGAGGACACTGTGGAAGGTATTAAAAAATTTACAGATATTTTGAAGGTAGTCAGTATTGATTGCTAGATTACAGTAGGCAAACCTGTACTTTGTCCATTCAGTCAAAGCAACAGGTTTGTTTTAATTGGCCAAATATCTGTAGCTTATACTTGCCTTCTTCATTCTTCACCTGCCCCATTCATTGCTAGAACGGAAAGACATCCCAGTATGGAGGGGCATTCGATTCACTTCATGGAACAGTGCGGCCCTCTTATATGTGCACCCAAAAGAAGCCTAACTGAAAAGCATTGCTTTACTTGACCTTGTTTGCACACTAGTCTCCAGTGCACTGCTTTTTGGAGTTGACTAGTTTATGTATCCAGTTGATTGGTCTTAGCTTCTTGGCTGTACATTGTTAGTAATATATTACCTATTATGTAAATATTTTATACAGCTTGGGTTGTGAACGTTTTTTCTGATTTTATATAAAATCAATAAATTCTTCCTGTTATAATAAAAAGACAAATTCACCAGACAATGTTTGTCATTTCTCTGGCTGTTTGGAATGTATTTTTTTCAAATGTATTTGTACTTATTTTAGGACAAAGGTTTTTCAAGAAGGTTGACCAATGAGATGGTTGTTCAGTTGGTGACCAGACATTCAAGGAGTTTGGAGGAAAAGGGGGAACAAGGAGATGGGGCATGGATTAAGATTGGTGGCATCCAATAAGGGCTTTTTAAGTATGGAGGTGATTAGTGCATGTTTTAGTAGGCAGGGGAGATGCCAGAAGAGAGGGAGAGATTGAAGATAAGAGTTAGAGAGTGCAGAATAGAGCCAGAGTGTGACCGTAGCATTTGTGAGGGGACGGGGCAGGTGGTTAGGTGGGCATTAGAAAAAAGTTTAGCAACCTTGTGTATAGTAGCTGGGTTGAATGAGGGAAATAATGATTGTACTTGTAAACATGGAGTTCTAAGTGGGGGAGGTATCTGTGCAGCGGAGATCTTATCACGAATTGTATCAATCTTATTTTGGAAGTGATTGGTGAGTTCCTGGGCAGTGAGTAAGTTAGTGGGTGGAGCAGTGGAAAACGAAGTACAGAGTTGAAGATAGAGAAGAGTCGATGGGGTCTGGACGAGAAGGTGTTAATGAGATAAAAATTAGGTCTGCTTAGCAGTGTGGAGACAGGAATTGTATCTATTTATATTGGTTGAAATCTATCTGAGATTTCTTACGTCACAGGCTCTCAAGAGTTTGCCAAGGTTGTAGGGTCAGGGCCTGTTTCTGTGTGTAGTGAGGGGGATGAGTGTGTCTATAATTGATGACACTGAACTGTTGTAGACAGAAGTGGCTTAGTTGGGACAGGATAGGAGTGAGATTTTGTCATACAGGTGGACAATTAGTATTATTATTATTATACAGTATTTATAAAGCGCCAACAGTTCGCTCAGCGCTGTACATTACAATTGGAGACAGAACATGCAACAGTACAATAACAATACAATGTGATACACGAGGGGTTTGAGGGCCCTGCTCCTTGGAGCTTACAATCTAGGAGGGAGGGGATAGTGGTACAGGAGGAAATAGCTGTGGGGGATGGAGTATGGTAGGGAGTGGAAGAGGTCAGGAATTAGCAGGGGGTGGGGTAGGCTTCCCTGAAGAGGTGGGTTTTCAGGGTGCGCCTAAAGGAGAGGAGGAGAGTAGGTGATAGTCTGATGGATTGGGGTAGGGAGTTCCAGAGTATGGGTGACGCCCTGGAGAAGTCCTGGAGGCGGGCATGGGAGGAGGAGACTAGGGAATTAGAGAGAAGGAGGTCTTGTGAGGAGCGGAGAGTGCGTGTAGGGTGGTACTTGGATATATTAGGTCGGTGATGTAGTTTGGGGCAGTATGATGGACAGCTTTGTACGTCAGTGTTAGGATTTTGAATTTGATCCGTTGGGCAATCGGAAGCCAGTGGAGGGATTGGCAGGGGGGGGTGGTGGAAACGGAGCGGTTGGTAAGGTGGATGAGTCTGGCTGCCGTATACAGGATTGACTAAAGCGGGGATAGCCAGCGGCGAGGCAGGCCAGTAAGGAGGGAGTTGCAGTAATCGAGTCGTGATATGATGAGGGAGTGGATGAGCTGCTTAGTGGTTTCTGGGGTTAGGAACGTGCGTATTTTGGGGCGTATATGGCGCAATAGCAGAGTAGAGAAGGGTTAAGGTGGCAAAGGTTTCTATGGGTAACTTAGACAGTTGGAGGGATAGGAGGTGAAGACAAAAAGAGTGAAACTAGCAGGGTAGTAATCAGTGAGGAAAGTGATTGTTGGAGAGGGTGCATGGAGTGCATAGGCAGGAGACCACAGAGTCAAGGGTGTTGTCATCAGAGTGAGAAGCATGTACCCATTGTTTCAAGTCAAAGGAGGAGGTTAGACTGAGAAGTTTAGAAGTAGCAGGAGTGTTAGTATTAACAGTAATGTTAGTCACCAATAATGATTGAGAGAAAGTAGGGTAGCCAGGCAGAGAAGTCATCAGGGAAGATAGATACCGGGCCAGGGGCTGTTACACCACAGCAATTCTTGAAAAAAAACTAGAAACTATACAATGTGCTTTAAATTAGAAGAGTGATAGAGAGGGAGGTGAGTGAAGTACCTGAAAGGTGCTATGTGGGGATAGAAGAGTTCCTACTCCGCCTCCTTTTTCTCCACTGGGTCTAGGGAAGTGAGTCCAGAGAAGGCCACCATGGGAGAGGGAAGCAGGAGAAGCAGTGTCAAATTCATGAAGCCAGGTTTCAGTAACGGCAAGTAGATTAAAGGAGTTTGTAATAAAGAAGTTGTGGAGAGAGGTGTGTTTGTTAGGCAAAGCAAGCATTCCAAAGGGTGCAAAAGAAGGGGAGGCTGGTTTTGGGAAGAACGACAGGGAGCCTGAAAATAACTCAGCAACTCCTAAAGGGGTAGTGCTACACTTATATACAAGTAAACCGGCTATATATTGTTTTTTCATGTAATTACATTGTGTGCTACATTGTTGTACTTCTAGGTTCTTTTGGAGGTTTATGTTAAAGCAGACCTTCACTAAAAAGTGAAATATTGCTTATTCTCTCCCTCCACCAGTCAACTGAGTTGCATGGCTTTTCAGATAAAAGGAGAAGCAAGGCCCCCCCTTTTATTTATTTTTTTTCTCTCTATCTCTCTCCTTGTCTCTCTCTTTCTCTTCCCCCCCCCCCCTTTTCTCCTTCGCTCTATCCTACATTCTCAACATTACCTTCCCATTTCTCTGAGTGTAGATGAACTTAGAATACCAGCAGACCCACAGGTACAACTGCAGCGCATCAGCCTCCACCCCCAGGGGTGGACGCTCAAATATCCACTGTTCTCACCATCCTCTCAATGGGTATTGCATCACATTTTTTATTTAAATGGGATCATATGAGGATTGGCTGATTTCTGTACCCAATTGTTCTGTTCACTTTATTCTATGTTGGTTTTTGTTTGGAACATGTTCTCTTCTTTTTTTTTTTCTATGTCTTCTTACTTCAAGCGATGTTAATTGATGAAACTATATGTGCTTCAGATATATTTCCCGTCAGGGATACAGGCATTTACTGAGTTTTATACATGATCCGAATGTAACCTGTACTTGTTATCATTGTGCCTCTTTTCTCAATAAAATAGTTTTTGGTTAAAAAAAGAAAGGGGAAGCGAGTACCATTTTTTTGGCTGTTCCCATTTCCTCAATCCTCACCTATGCGAGGATCATGCTGCTTATCCTGTCCCCCCCCCCCCCCTTCCAAACAGCATGTCCCAGGAGGGTGCAAGACCAGTCTCCTTCTGTCACGAGATTACGCAAATGCACAGTGAGGATCCAGCTATGATTCATCAGTAAGACACAGCCTACTCCCAAACCCAGGATAGTGGCGCTGGGGACCTGTAGCAGTGAGAAGAATCAGATGTGGGAAGACGGTGTTGGAATCCATGGACTGGCAAGTACCTGATATATAAAAGCCATCAGCTAAAGTATCTACAACTGCTCATTTTTAATTTCTGCTTAAAGACATGCTGAAGGTCCTCTTAAATTACATTTGTTACAAATGGATTGAAGGCCATTGTTTCTAATTCTCCTTGTGGTGTAAGTCACACTGTCTTTTTTTTAATTATTGTTTTTTTTACGTTTTCTTACTGTATTAAATCTCAGAAAACTTGAAGAACTGCAGTAGGGAATCAAACCATATGAGATAACATCATGTTTCTGGCAATTCCAGATGGTATACTAGCCAATGACCCATCAGCAAATCCTTGTCCATCTGCTTCCCTTGATCTAAAGAACTCA